CTTGTTCTCACCTTTGCTCAGCTGTAACTACGCAAGTGAGTTTTGTCTTTTTATTTTATGTTTTTCTTGATTTTATTTCATCTTTATTGCTCTTAATATTATCTAAAGAATATCGACATTGACATTGACAATGACAATGTCTACAGACATTGGACTTATTGAAGTTTAAATAATACCTAAACGCTGAATTTGTTTCGTCGGTTCTTTTCTGAGCGATGTTATTGTGAAGCTGTTAAAATTCAATTCAACAATTAGGTATGAGGCCGTCAGTGCAATAGTGGCATAACCCACAATTTTTTATATTCAAGCTTATATGTATCTAATTTATTTTAAAATATAATAAATTTTGATGCCAAACCGGCCTATCCATAGTTTCACCCATAGATAACAGATAGGTTTGTAAACATTATTTTTGCGCGTATTTTTTTTTTTGCCTACTCTAATTCAAATTCGTGAAAATTCAAACCTCCATACGAACTATGGTAAGTTTAGGCCACTTTTACGCTGACGGTCTCACATTAGGGCGACATTTAAGAAAAATTAAATTTCGTATTAATTTTATGTTTGATGCGCATATTACGTGCACACGATATATTTATCGAGTCATTTAACAAATTTTATCCGAAACCAGCTGACCCGGCAGACTTCGCAGTACCTCAATCGATAAATAAAAGATCTAAACTTGTTGTATAAAATAAACTTAAAACAAACAAAAGGAGTCCGTCCGACGGGGGACACATCAAAGGAAAAACAAAATTGATATTTTTATTTAATTCCGAGCATATTCATATTATCTACTTTGAACCTTCTCTGGACTTACACAAATAATTCAAGACCAAAATTAGCCAAATCGGTCCAGCTGTTCTCGAGTTTTAGCAAGAATAACGAACAGCAATTCATTTATATATATACCAGCGACCCGCCCTCGCTTCGCTTCGGAAACTGTAATTTATTATTGATTTCTCCACTATTTGATGGATGTTATCATACATATAAACCTCCCTCTTCAATCACTCTATTAAAAAAAAACGCATCAAAATCCGTTGCATGGTTGTAAAGATTTAAGCATACATAGGGACAGACAGATATAGGGACAGAGAAAGCGACTTTGTTTTATACTATNAGCGACCCGCCCTCGCTTCGCTTCGGAAACTGTAATTTATTATTGATTTCTCCACTATTTGATGGATGTTATCATACATATAAACCTCCCTCTTCAATCACTCTATTAAAAAAAAACGCATCAAAATCCGTTGCATGGTTGTAAAGATTTAAGCATACATAGGGACAGACAGATATAGGGACAGAGAAAGCGACTTTGTTTTATACTATGCAGTGATATAGATTGTGTTAAATATATCCAAGTGAAATGCTTGTGACAGTCGCATATCATAGAATAATAAGGGCTTCGTTTTTCTCTTTTGCCCATCGAACCGTAAACTGCTCTCTTCGTGACCTAAATACGGGCTCGTAACACATCGCCTGTTCATTTTCCGCGCATCCGTGTGTGTGATTGCAACACACCGGTAGTTCCCAATTTGTAGAGGGGTATGAAAAAAATTGGTTCGTTTCTGCAACACGCAAAATTCTTGTTAATAATACAATTCGGGTATTATCTTCTCATATTGCGCTCGAGTAGCAAATCCTACCCCTCCCGGCTGAGCCCATGCCCCCCACCTGTCCTCAAAGGTGGAGGAAGGGGAGGAAAAGGAAAATTGAAGGCCTCAAGACCACAAGTAATCCTTCCTAAATATATATACCTAGTCAGGTCATAAGTATTGTCACACAGTAAAAACTTTTCTTTTAGAATGCTGGCCACAAAAAAGTTTATTGAATTCGAATTTCGAATTGTTCATGAAAATAAAAATGTATACTTTTAGAATTTTACTCATTTTTAAATATGGAGTGGACGCTTAAAGAAGACCGTGTTGCAGTTATTGCGTTGCATCGTTGCGGTTACGCGCCAATTCAAATTTTTAACATACTGAAAAATTTGAATATAACCAAAAGATTCGTTTATCGTACCATCAAACGATACAATGAAGACTCTAGTGTAGATGACAGGTCAAGAAGTGGTCGCCCTCGGTCTGTTAGGACTCCAGCAGTGATAAAAGCTGTGAAGGCGCGAATTCAAAGAAATCCCAAACGTAAGCAGAAACTGTTGGCCCTTCAGATGGGGTTAAGCAGAACCACGGTGAAAAGGGTGTTAAATGAAGACTTAGGGCTTCGGGCATATCGAAGAAAAACAGGACATCGTTTGAATGCTCGTCTAATGGACCTGAGACTGAAGAGATGCCGCGCTTTGTTGAAGCGGTACGCGGGAAAAAAATATCGGGAAATTCTTTTTTCGGATGAAAAAATTTTTACCGTAGAAGAGAGCTACAACAAACAAAATGATAAGGTGTACGCACACAGTAGTGAAGAAGCGAGCAACCGTATTCCGCGTGTCCAACGAGGTCATTTTCCATCCTCGCTCATGGTATGGTTGGGAGTTTCTTATTGGGGCTTAACAGAGGTACATTTTTGTGAGAAAGGTGTAAAAACGAATGCAGTTGTGTATCAAAATACAGTCCTGACGAACCTTGTGGAACCTGTTTCTCATACCATGTTCAATAACAGGCACTGGGTATTCCAACAAGATTCGGCGCCAGCTCATAGAGCGAAGAGCACACAAGACTGGCTGGCGGCGCGTGAAATCGACTTCATCCGGCACGAAGACTGGCCCTCCTCCAGTCCAGATTTGAATCCGTTAGATTACAAGATATGGCAACACTTGGAGGAAAAGGCGTGCTCAAAGCCTCATCCCAATTTGGAGTCACTCAAGACATCCTTGATTAAGGCAGCCGCCGATATTGACATGGACCTCGTTCGTGCTGCGATAGACGACTGGCCGCGCAGATTGAAGGCCTGTATTCAAAATCACGGAGGTCATTTTGAATAAACTTTAGTGTCATAAGAATCTATGTTTTGTTAAGTTCATTTTGGTATATTAATGGTTACATAATGAATAAACTTGTTTCAATTATTTTACATTAAACATGTGACAGAATTTATGACCTGACTAGGTATAATCTATATCATTTAATAATATTTCGCGTGTAAATAATACCTTCACCTTATTGTCTAGTTTTTCTCAAAGTTGCATTTCAAACCACAACAAATACAGTATCAAATACAAATGTATGTATTTGCGCAATAACAATTTAGCTCTGTAGCGTCCCTATTTCGATTCTTTGATGGCCAGGAAACTGTAATAAGATTGATTATCGTCGTTTGGCATATTAATGTGATGGTCGTTTCGTGCATTCCAATTGAAGCAGAAGCGTACTTAAAAATTGTTGCATACATTACTTTTAAGTTTGTAAGATAAATTAAGATGTCTGAAATTGCATTAATTGATTCTTTTTCTTGCATTATCGTCTGATTCTAAGCCACTCAAAATTTGAAATCTCATTTAAAAAATAATTGCTTAAAATCAATCCCAGCTACTAAGAAGCTTTGTCATTAATTACCATCACAGATTTTAAATTCTAAAAATAATATAGTCCATATTCCCCTTACGCCTACGCTTGTTTCATCGAAACAGGAAAATTAATTACCAACATTATAATGCAATATAAACATTACCATGAAGATGAAGTTTCTAATAAGTAAAACATCCGGACTGTAAGTAGTTGTACCTGCTTATTATCCATATGCATAGTTTCATTAAACAAATCTATAGATTTATGAACTGCGTACCTGCTATCAGAATTTGAATCTATCTCACTAATAAAAACACTACGATATACGGTACCCTCTAAATTACCAAATTTTCTACCGTTCGATCGTCGTTAACAGCTTTATCGCATTTCGTTATGGGTTTTTTTAAAAGCCTCCATAACCTTTTCAAGTTTTTTTTTTCTACCTAATTTCTTTGAAAGCAGCAGATGTAGCAGCCGTTGTAACTATACTGAGACCTTAGAACTTATATCTCAAGCTGGGTGGCGCATTTACGTTGTAGATGTCTATGCGCTCCAGTAACCACTGAACACCAGGTGGGCTGTGAGCTCGTCCAAACATTTGAGCAACTAAAAAAAAAAATTGTAGCCTAAGCGGCAGCAATGCTTAGAGACCTTAGAACTCGTATCTCAAGATGGGTGGCAGCATTTACGTTGTAGATGTCTATGGGCTCCGGTAACAACTTAACATTACGTAGGGCCGCGAGCTCGTCCAACCACATAAACAATAAAAAAAGCACTCGGACTGCAATGACCACTTTTATGCACAAAAAATTTCAACTACAATCGTGTTATTTTGTTCAAAGCAATATCAATGCTAAAAACGCTGTTGAGTTATAACCAGGAAATATGTTTGACGCTAGCATAAACCACGTGCACAGCTACTCGTAATTCTATGGCTAATGGCTTTTTAAATGAGTTCATGTTTGAAATCAACCGAAATCATGTTATTGCCTTTGACAGTGACGCGAAACAGGCAAATATCAAGCTTCAGATAAATTAATCTATTTTCTGAATCGTCCAGGTCTTAAGTTGGTCCGTATTTAGTTGGCTGACTCCATTTGTTTCGTGTTGGCCGCGGTGTTTGGAAGTATTCTTTAGGACGCACCCCGAGCGGAACCTTGTCGGTTTTATGTTAAAAATTATTGTAGAGAAATACTTAGGTAGCCTAATTTCAGAAGGGTTTTATGTTTCTGCTCATCCTCGCTTCGGTTTCCTCAGTGTTTAGGGTCGTGACCACCGCCTCGCAAGAAGAGTTCGCTGTGGATCGCTCGACGCCATTTATTCCTAACTACCGCCGAGCGTAGAGCATCGTGGAGACTGTAGAGTGTAGAGCATTTGTGTGTTCTAGTTTAGACTAAAAATGTAGACGTATTTGTCTAAAATTTTCAATATTCCCTTGAAGGGTTTTTGTATATTCCCTTCCCTGTTGAATGGTTAACAACTTCGTCTCTATCGTTTAATGATTAATTGTTGAAACGTGTTGTTTTTTGTTATCAGCTCGCCCGTCTCGGGTATTACAAGCTGGCGGTCACTCCTCAACCTCAGGACAGCGAACAGCGCATGCGCAACGGCTTGCACGCTCCACACCCGAAGGAGATAAGGTGCGTATGATTTGTCGAGTACTAATGAACTAATTAATCGATAGTGAAGGTATTTAAGACTTTTATTTGTTATTGGTTAGACGGGTAAATGAACTCACGATATACCAGGTGCTAAGTGGCGTGTGGAGTCTATAGACATCGACAACACCACCCAACCCTGGGAGACATGAGCATAAACTTACAGTTCTATAGTATAATATCTGCCCCTTCAAATCGGACGCATTACTGTTTCTTGACAGGAATAGGGGAAGGTAGTCGTACCAAATCGTGCGGGCTTACAAGACGCCCTAGCATTAATTAAGCATAAGCATTAAACAAATAAAATTTTTTGTGGGTTTGCTTGTTATTAAACGATGTTATTCCATCACCGTCGAAATCATTCGGATACATGTGTTGTACGTATTTCATTCTACACAGAAATAACTAACAGTATTTTGAAGTTTTGAATGGGACATATTATAATGTTTCACAGGGAACTTTTCATGCATTGACTTTTGTCTGAAGTGAAGGAAGTTCGCGATCACGAAATGTATATAATCGAAAGGTCTCATTAAGAACCAAAGGAAATATGTTAATGAACCGTGCCAATTCTTTAAATCATGAAAAGCTAAGAAAATACATATCGACGCTTGAAAGGCAAACGTGACTAAGCGACAATGCGTGAACTTTACAGTAGACTAATTTAAAGTTGAAATATCTGAAAAAAAAAACTATTTTAACGGATCTAGCTGTAGGTTTGAAATGATTTTAATAGACCTAGAAAAATTTTTTTTTTGCGCATCGAATATGATTATTGCCTGTCATTTATGTACAAAGTAGTTATTGTCGCTTATTCACGTTTGCCTTTCAAGCGTCGATATAATTATTTTGAGTTTATGCTAATCAATATCTTAAATCTATAGAAAATTTAGAATTGGTCACGATATTAATTACTTGAATTGTAGCAAAGATTATGACAAAACAGATTAATGGTTTCTATAGATCTATATTTGGCGAACGTTATTTGATCGATGTCAAGATCTTGGCGCTAGCGCACCCTAATTGCGTGGCGCGATTGGATTCCGACTTTCACATCCAAACAGTTTTGATCAAATTTTAATTTTGATACTTACAACATAGAGTGTAATTTTGATTTTGAAGGAAAAACCATTTCGTGTGAGAACATTTCCAACTTGCAAAAGATTGTAATTAAGTACTTAGTTTAAACTTTGCTTAGTCTCCGATGATAAGGCATTATATTGAGGGGTGAAAAACGATTTGGTTTAAGTGACATTTTGCAGCTTATTTAAAAATATCATAGCAAAAATACTTCTTCAGCTATTTTAATCAAGTAAACTTAATAGAAGTTCAATAAAAAAAACAACGAACTGTTTATGGTAATACCAAATAAATGTCGCTTATTAAGCGAAACGTCGCCTAAACCAAATAGCAATTTACTGGTGGTAGGACCTCTTGCCTATTTCTGCCGTGAAACAGTAATGAGTTTCGGTTTGAAGGATGGGGCAGCCGTTGTAACTATACTGAGACCTTAGAACTTATATCTCAAGGTGGGTGGCGCATTTACGTTGTAGATGTCTATGGGCTCCAGTAACCACTTAACACCAGGTGGGCTGTGGGCTCGTCTATCCACTTAAGAAGTAATTTAATTTAAAAAAAACGTTTCACCACTCGATATGATCCCCACACTATTGCATTTGGATTTAAGTGGAAATTATACCGTTTCTTGAATTTTTGTTCCAATCTATCTATATATATTATTATATAAAAATGAATTGCTGTTCGTTAGTCTCGCTAAAACTCGAGAACGGCTGGACCTATTTGGCTAATTTTAGTCTTGAATTATTTGTGGAAGTCCAGAGAAGGTTTAAAAGGTAGATAAATACGAAAATGCTCGGAATTAAATAAAAATAACAATTTTGTTTTTCCTTTGATGTATCCAACGTCGGACGGATTCCTTTTGTTTGTTTTAAATTCATTTTATACAAAAGTTTAGGTCTTTTAGGTCAGCTAGTTCAATAATAATTATGCTGTCAACTCCAACCATGAAATCTCACCTTATGGTATATTTGTAATATTAAATATTTCGAATAAATACTCTTTGGTTTTCACAGTCGACTAATTTTGAAATGATTCCTTGGATTTGACCGTAAAGTGCTATAAATTATGATAATTATTTATTATTATCTTTAAATAACAGGACTAAAACGAATTCCTCAATGGAGGCTGACAGTCTTGTGTTGTGGAGGCGGCCCCTCATCACATTGGAGTATTTCTTCAGAGAACTTTTTATATTAATAAACACAGGATTGCAGAGGTAAGTTGAATTATCTGTTCATGCCTTAAACCAGTATCCAGTTGATATTAGAGTTCATACTATTGTTATGATAATAATGCTATAAATAAAAAACGTTTATTGCACCTCAAGAGTTTATCTAAATAAACAAAAACCGAGTGTAAATAATAATACACATTATTTATGTATTAAAATAGTTGTTACGGTTTTTTGACTTTCTTATATCCGAAAGTTATCATTCTAAGCTTCGATCAATAATAGTACTAGATTAAAGATCAGGAACAAAAATAAGACGCTCCAGTGGCCACGTTTGCAGACACGAAAACATCTTAATTTCTTAGAAAAAAGTTTAATAATGTTAACGACTTCAGTTTATTCTAAACCTTAATACTTAAACATAAAGTTTAATTACCATTGCAAAATATATGTATTTAGGTCCTTTCGTCAGAAAAAGAATCTTATGGAATAAATTTAAAATGTCACTTGAACATAAAAAGACATCAGTACAAAAATATTTATTCTAAAATGATACTTAAAGCNGCAAACGTGACTAAGCGACAATGCGTGAACTTTACAGTAGACTAATTTAAAGTTGAAATATCTGAAAAAAAATCTATTTTAACGGATTTAGCTGTAGGTTTGAAATGATTTTAATAGACCTAGAAATATATATTTTTTGCGCATCGAATATTGTTATTGCCTATCATTTATGTACAAAGTAGTTATTGTCGCTTAGTCACGTTTGCCTTTCAAGCGTCGATATAATTATTTTGAGTTTATGCTAATCAATATCTTAAATCTAAAATATATAGAAAATTTGGAATTGGTCACGATATTAATTACTTGAATTGTAGCAAAGATTATGACAAAACAGATTAATGGTTTCTATAGATCTATATTTGGCGAACGTTAATTGATCGATGTCAAGATCTTGGCGCTAGCGCACCATAATTGCGTGGCGCGATTGGATTGCGACTTTCACATCCAAACAGTTTTGATCAAATTTTAATTTTGATACTTACAACATAGAGTGTAATTTTGATTTGAAAGAAAAACCATACCGTGTGAGAACATTTCCAACTCGCAAAAGATTGTAATTAAGTACTTAGTTTAAACTTTGCTTAGTCTCCGGTGATAAGGCATTATATTGAGGGGTGAAAAACGATTTGGTTTAAGTGACATTTTGCAACTTATTTAAAAATATCATAGCAAAAATACTTCTTCAGCTATTTTAATAAAGTAAACTTAATAGAAGGTCAATAAATAAAAAAAACAACGAACTGTTTATGCTAATACCAAATAAATGTCGCTTATTAAGCGAAACGTCGCTTAAACCAAATAGCAATTTACTGGTGGTAGGACCTCTTGCCTATTTCTGCCGTGAAGCAGTGATGCGTTTCGGTTGGAAGAGTGGGGCAGCCGTTGTAACTATGCTGAGACTTTAGAACTTATATCTCAAGGTGGGTGGCGCATTTACGTTGTATTATAGATGTCTATGGGCTCCAGTAACCACTTAACACCAGGTGGACTGTGAGCTCGTCCACCCATTTAAGAAGTAATTTAATTAAAAAAAACGTTTCACCCCTCGATATGATCCCCACACTATTGCATTTGGATTTTAAGTGGAAATTATACCGTTTCTTGAATTTTTGTTCCAATACAATAATAATTATGCTGTAAACTCCAACCATGAAATCTCACCTTATGGTACATTTGTAATATAAATTTTTTCGAATAAATACTCCTCGGTTTTCTCTGTCACAGTCGACTAATTTTGAAATGATTCTTTGGATTTGCCGTAAATTGCTATAAATTTAATTATGATAATTATCTATTACTAGCTTACATTTGTAATATAAATTTTTTCGAATAAATACTCCTCGGTTTTCTCTGTCACAGTCGACTAATTTTGAAATGATTCTTTGGATTTGCCGTAAATTGCTATAAATTTAATTATGATAATTATCTATTACTAGCTGACCCGGCAGATTTCGTAGTGCCTCAATCGATTAATATAAGTCAAGTTTAGACTTTTGTCTATACTAATATTATAAAGAGGAAAGATTTGTTTGTTTGGTTGGTTCGAATAGGCTCCGAAACTACTGGACCGATTTGAAAAATTCCTTTTCCATTAGAAGCCGACATTGTCCCTGATGAACATACGCTACTTTTTTTAATTTTTTTTTTTATTTTTTTTTTTTTGGTTCCATGTTTGTTTTAATGTTTCCGAAGCGAAGCGAGGGCGGGTCGCTAGTATAAAATAAACTTAAAACAAACAAAAGGAATCCATCCGACGGGGGACACATCAAAGGAAAAACATCATTGTTATTTTTATTTAATTCCAAGCATTTTCATATTTATCTACCTTTTAAACCTCCTCTGGACTTCCACAAATAATTCAAGACCAAAATTAGCCAAATCGGTCCAGCCGTTCTCGAGTTTTAGCGAGACTAACGAACAGCAATTTATTTTTATATATATAGATTATCTTTAAATAACAGGACCAAAACAAATTCTTCAATGGAGGCCGACAGTCTTGTGTTGTGGAGGCGGCCCCTCATCACATTGGAGTATTTCTTCAGAGAACTTTTTATATTAATCAACACAGGATTGCAGAGGTAAGTTGAATTATCTGTTCATGCCTTAAACCAGGATCCAGTTGATATCAGAAGTTCATACTATTGTTATGATATGATAATAATGCTATTAATAAAAAAACGTTTATTGCAGTCAAGCGCTTATCTAAATAAACAAAAATCGAGTGTAAATAATAATACACATTATTTATGTACTAAAATAGTTGTTACGGTTTTTTGACGTTCTTATATGCAAAAGTCATCATTCTAAATTAAAATTTTATTTATGCAAAGTAAAAATTATTATGTATGCATCTATACAAATAAATAAAATCGGAGTGTCTGTTTTTAATATTAAATAACCGCTTTTTAATAAATGCATATATGGATGTACACAACAAAAATGTATTTTTAAAAATTTTCTTCTATCTGTCGGTCTGTCTGTCTGTTTGTTCCGGTTAACGGCTGGACCAATTTTGACGGGACTTTGATAGGTAGCTGATAATATAAGGAGTAACTTAGGCTACTTTTTTAGACTAACATCGCCCTGCAGCGTTAACCGCGGTACGACAATAACCGCGGGTAACACCGTGGGGTTCAGCTGGTACCACATATATTTTCTAGGTTTTTGACCGACGAACCGCTTCTCCTATATTGTATTTCGTTCGTTCTGCCAACCCTATTTGGTCTAAAATAATATAAATAGACACTTTTAGGCGAATGTATATAAAAAAAAATGGCACTGTGTTTTTTTTAGATTGATTGCATACAGAGTACTGGCGTTAACAATAGCCGTGGCAATAATTGGTACTGCGATTTCGTATTATATCAGCGGCCCTCATCAGCAGTACGTGCATGTAAGTGATTTGAATACAAACGTTGGTACGATCTGTGACGTAAATATACCTGCCGTGCTCGAAAAGGACACACCTAATACTGTATTCCGCAAAGTTCCCGACAATGCACTGGTGGTAGGACCTCTTGTGAGTCCGCGCGAGTAGGTACCACCGCCCTACCTATTTCTGCCGTGAAGCAGTAATGCGTTTCGGCTTCAAGGGTCGGGCAGCCGCTGTAACTATACTTGTGACCTTAGAACTTATATCTCATGGTGGGTGGCGCATTTACGTCGTAGGTGTTTATGGGCTCCAGTAACCACTTAACACCAGGTTGGCTGTGAGCTCGTCCACCCATCTAAGCTATAAAAAATAAATAAATTAGGTCTAATATAATACTCTGTAATGTCACAATAGTTCATACTACAATATCCATCCCGGTAACCAGCAAAGAATTCGACGCGCAACCTAACCTATGCATCAGCCCGTTGAGTTTCTCACCGGATCTTCTCAGCGGGTCGCGATTCCGATCCGGTAGTAGATTAATTCGCGAAGCAACTGCTCTTGAGTTGTTAAGTCTCCTTCGGAGGCACTTGGATAGCTGTTAGCTCATCCCACCCCTCTTAACTTAGCCTTTGCTCGCCCACCTGTCCTGGTAAAACTGGAAAGGTTACCGGGTCACCAGTAATCCGTCAATTATAATGAAAAATTTAATTTGTTATTCGATTCTGAACGTAAAATTATAGGTGCTAAGTTAAATTGATCATAGCCTCGTTCATAAGTCTCGCTGCTTGTCAGAAATGGAGCCTATCGAATTAAATATATAAATGTTTGCGTGCCTGTTTGTTCGTAATCTATACACTGTTAGTTAATTGATTTGTAACAGTTGTTATTGACGCTTCATGAGACTTTATTGTTATATTATCATTTACGAGAAGTGGCGCGTGGTTACGGCTTTTCGTGTTTCACTAGTAATCGATAAAATATTTATTTGTTTCAGTTAGTTGTAGCCACTCTAGCATGGTGGGGCTGGTGGGTAGTTCTAGGCGTTTGTAGTTCTGTGGGCCTCGGTACGGGCTTGCACACATTCCTATTGTATTTGGGGCCGCACATAGCGAGGGTTACACTCGCAGCGTATGAATGCGGAGGATTGAACTTCCCGGAGCCACCTTATCCTAATGAGTAAGTGTTCAAACTGATTTTTTTTTACTAGTGGTAGGAGGACCTCTTGTGATTCCGCACGGGTAGGTACCACCACCCTGCCTATTTCTGCCGTGAAGCAGTAATGCGTTTCGGTTTGAAGGGTGGGGCAGCCGTTGTAACTATACTGAGACCTTAGAACTTATATCTCAAGGTTGGTGGTGCATGTACGTTGTAGATGTCTATGGACTCCGGTAACCACTTAAAACTAGGTGGGATGTGACTGCAACTCATCTTTTAACTTTCAGTATAATTTGTCCGGCTGAGGTCGATCCTAACTACGCGGTGTCGATATGGAATATAATGGCGAAAGTTCGCGTCGAATCTATGATGTGGGGCATAGGCACCGCTCTAGGCGAACTGCCGCCGTACTTCATGGCGAGGGCCGCTAGACTCTCAGGGGCCGGGGTCGCCGAACTCAACACCGACGATGATTCGAGGACCGGAAGGTCAGTAGTACCATATCGCAACTAAAATCACTTTATATTCGAATTGGTGGGTAATTTCTTTTTTTTGTGTTCGTTTTAGGGCATCGAACCGCACAGAACACTTTTGATATCGATTGTTTAAATTTAATATGCAATTTCGAAAAGGGCACATCTCTGAAAATGTAAAATGTTCAGGAAATGAAAAAAACTGATTATTTTGTAAAGCAGTGTAAAATTTGAAATATTAACTTTTGAGATGTATTTCAGTGTTAATTAGCAATTGAAAATTACTGGAATTATTATAAAATGGGTATAGGTAAGCCTCAAAACTACATGTATATGAAAAAACATATTTGACAAAATATGCGACATGTGCCCTTTTCGAAATTGCATTTTTTCAATATTGAATTAATAAATTAATTAATATAATTCAATATTTTTTTACTTTAACACCTGCGATCATTCCCTAAGACTATAATCAGGTGAGTTGCGAGAAGTTACGGTTTGGAGGGGCAGAGCCAATGCTCCGTCTCGCCTTAGTAGGATAGCATTGTAGATTGTTTCATTAAATGTATTTTTTATTTAACGAATAAATAAAATTTTTGGCCTTAGGTTTATATGAATTACAATGTGAAATGTTCTATTGGAAACTTGTGTCTCTACAACTGATATACATAAAACAAAATTAACAAGCTTTGTTAATAGTATTAACTAAGTTTCTGTCACCCAAATTTCAGATTTAATTTTTTGTGACACCGAATAGGAATGAAGTTCCTTATTATAAAATTATTAATTTCAAGTTCTATTCGAGGTATAAAGAAAATAAAACTGGAGGTTTCGCAACAACCCACGGTCATTCGGTAACGTGTGAACTTATTGTGGTACACTTCATTCACGGTTGTTTGCATTAGAGTTAGTGTATTGCGCAAACGAACGCTCTAAGATCGTGGTCAATGAATGATAAAATATGTTCTTTTTTGTAAAGTTAAATCGTACAGTGTGTGCATTACTAATTTGTACATTTTTACAAAGTTAAGTCGTACACTGTGTGGATTACTAATAAAAATCTTACGTTACGGACGTTTTTTCCCAGTTACCCTCCGCATCGTCCCATAAGGAACTTCGTTCCAAAAAGAGCGTAAAAATGCCGTGCAATATATACATTATGGTTTCTATTTTCAGGGCTAAAATAATGGTGCAGAAATTAGTGCAGCGCGTAGGCTTTGCTGGTATATTGGCTTGCGCTTCGGTGCCTAACCCTCTCTTCGATTTGGCCGGCCTGACCTGCGGACACTTCTTGGTGCCGTTTTGGACGTTCTTCGGAGCGACGGTCATCGGGAAAGCGGTCATAAAGATGCACCTGCAGAAAATGTTCGTCATTATCGCGTTCAACGAGACTTTGGTTGGGTGTGTATGATATTATCTATGCAACTTTAATGATCAAGTTCCCCTAACGTTCTTGAAGTTGTCGTGGCCTAAAGGATAAGACGTCCGGTGCATTCGTGTTGAGCGATGCACTTATGTTTGAATCCCGCAGGCGGGTCCCAATATTTGTAATGAAATACTCTAATGAAATACTGAAAAAATAAAATAAATAACTCAACAAATGTTCACGATTGACTTACACGGTGAAGGAATAACATCGTGTAATAAAATTTTAAAAAAATAATAATTTGTGGTAGGACCAGTATAACTGGTGGTAGGACCTCTTGTGAGTCTGCGCGGGTAGGTAACACCACCCTGCCTATTTCTGCCGTGAAACAGTAATGCGTTTCGGTTTGAAGGGTGAGGCAGCCGTTGTAACTATACTGAGATCTTAGAACTTATATCTCAAGGTGGGTGGCGCATTTACGTTGTAGATGTCCATGGGCTCCAGTAACCACTTAACACCAGGTGGGCTGTGAGTTCGTCCATCCATCTAAGCAATAAAAAATAATAATAATAATGTCTTACCTTCCTCAGGCAAGCGTTGTCTTGGGTCGAAAAAATACCGTACATCGGTCCGAAATTAGAGGCTCCGCTTTTGGAATTCTTGAGGAACCAGAAAGCGCGTCTTCACAAGAACGATTCCACGCAGATACCAGAAAATCAGGGTTCGGTATTATCGAACATTCTAGAAAAGTTCGTTCTGGCGATGGTCGTTTACTTTATTGTGTCGATTGTGAACGCTTTGGCCCAAAACTACAGTAAGAGGGTCGGTAAGAAGAAGAGCAAGAAAAGAGAATAGGGATTGAAAATGCCGGGCGACGTCGACAGACTTGGTAAGAAATAAAAAAAAACATTTATTATTTTCAATATTTTTCAAGAATATGTTATGGTTGTTAGCGAGCAACCAACTATACTGGGACCTTAGAACTTATATCTCAAGGTGGGTGGCGCATTTACGTTGTAGACGTCTATGGGCTCCAGTAACCACTTAACACCAGGTGGGCTGTGAGCTTGTCCAACCAACTAAGCAATAAAACAAACAAAAAAAAATAAAAATAGGCTATTATCAAGTGGCCCGTTGTAGAATTCAACGGCAAATAAAACACTGAAACAGATACATGTTATGCTGATCTTAGATTGTTGAAAAAGAACAGACAAGGGGACGATTAGAAATGTAAGTTAATAGCTGTACCCGTCCGCTTCGCTGGGCATTTAAAATTAACATTATTATTTCTCATACAAAAATTCTCACCTCACCACCCTCGCAACTGGTGTAGGGAGTCCAACGCTCATATAAATATTAGCCTATCCATTAAGTACATGTATTTTCTACATGGATACCAAGTTACAAGTCAATCGGATGCACGGTTCAGTAGTTAAAATCCGTAAAAACCACTGTAGATTTATATATTAGTGTAGATTCGTGTTATGAGATTTGATTGGTTTTTTTTTCAGCTCGGCATAGACAAAAGAAAGGGAGATCGCATCGACGCCGGTAGTACACGTCCGTGCTTAGTGCAACGGCCGCGGTGAAAGTTAAACTATTACTCTATGTTCAAGACCATAGACACTCATGGCGTGGCGTTGTGGCGTTATGACACGAACTTTGACATTTAGTGACGACGACGAGTGTTGTTAATACTGTTATATGGAGGGTAGAACTAAGAAGCGCCATCTTGTTTAGGAGATAATTTGAAAAAGTGTTCAACTGTAAACAGCAAGTTATTGTTTTGAAGACTCAAAGGAATAGTACTATAGTAGAATTATTTTGTCCGTGCATTTCGGGTCATAAAACATAGCCCGGCTAGGGCGGTAAGCATGTTGCGCGGGCGCAACGTCATTATCTATAAAAACAAATGAGTCATCGAAGGCAGGTACACAGCGGCGGAGCGGTATATGAAGGGTAGTGAGACATTGTTATATTATTATTATTATTTTTAAGAGATTTTATGACCTGGTAACTGAGACCTTTAAGTCATGTCTTATTTTAATTTATATTCATATTTGCATGAAAAATGATATTATGGAGTGAAATGAAATGAAGATGATTAATTTGAGACACTAATCAACTGGGATGAAATTAAATGAAATGAATTGAGATGATATGGGATGAAATATAATCTCAGTAAAATGGTGGTCATTTACTAAGATTTTTTCAGTGGACTTTTTTGAGGATCCTGAGAAGTTACGTCCAGTTTTCCCACATTTGTGCACTTTTGTAGATATTAAACAGTTAATAAACCACCATTATTACACATTTAAACCCGAAGAAACACTAAATAGACAAAATAAAACAAATCACACAACTTCACTCCTCGCGTTCCCGCCAAAAAGTCCATTGTTATATTATGAATCATTTGTTGTACCTACCTGCAAATTATAGTACATATGTCGAAGAGAAATGTGATTTTGTGCATTCGCTCTCTGAATTTCTTTAGTGACACAATGGCAAGTTACAAAGTGTTAATTTCTGCCGTTCTCGTTAACTTCCTGCGGAGATATGTGGTGTAAGAGTTCGATTAGTGATTTTTTCTTTCATTTTCTATCACTAACCCACAAAATGACAAAACTAAATACACTATCGATAACGCTTATCGACAACAATAATGCGCATCACTGTGCCCGTCCATAAGGCTCGTGAGTGGAAGAGAGAGCGATATACTCGCTTCACCGCTCCGATTATTTATGACCCAAACTGCACGGACAAAATAATTCTACTAAAGTGTAGGAAATGGAAATTATATGAATATAGCAGTTTTAAATGGAGTGAAGTGTGCTGGATTGAAGCGAAGTTTACTGTTTTGAAAATCCTTTCACTTGCTACTATGGCGCCACCTTAATTGTCTCCCTTTCAACGGACACTTTTTAATACACTGAGATGAGATGAATTATCCTTACTTCTGTCCTCCATGTACTGTTTGTTTAAGTAACTGTACTTGTCAGTGTTACCAACTAACATTTAGCTTTTAATAGTTAATGTTGCCATGTCAACAAATACTAAGGATAGGTTTCTATCTATTATCAATACTTATATATAACCAGTATATTGTAAAGTAACAAATATATACATTATCTAATGTAGTAATAATATAATATCAAGAAAGTAATAGTAAGCAATATTGCAAGGTGCTTCTTTAGTATTTGCGTATTCTGTGTGAACTAAATAAATATACACATACAATCTCAAAGGCTTTAGAAAATCAATACACAATTTTACTATGATGTAAAAAATTCTGTGTGCTTTTTTAATTAGATTTTGGAACAAGTAACACATTACCAAATGCTTAAATGTTTGGTTATTATTAAAATTAACACTATGTAATGTAAAAAATATCAATAACTGGTTAACTTTACTTTTTTTTTTAATAGAATGTAAAATATTGATTAACATTAAAAAAAATGTAATAAAACAGCTAATGTCCGACAGATTATTGTCTTGCCTGTACAAAACGAAAGTTTGTAAATAGATTATAATTAGGTATTTATAGTGTTAAAATTGGCATAGAGTAAATATAACTTTCACTTAGCATATTATGTGATGTGTATCCGAACTACCGATATAAAGTTGAAGCTATCAAATAAAATACAAATATTGTCCAAAAATAAAAGATTAAATTAGTTAATAAATCCCATAAAAATTGAGTGTAATAGAACTGTTTGGAACAGCAAAAGTACACCAGACATTTAGACAGTCAGAAAGTGTATTCACTTCGATAAGCTGTGCACGAATTCGGTGACTTCCAATAATTTAATAAAAATTAAATTAGGGAAATTAAGTGCGATAAATTAAAAGAAAATATGCATTAGTATTTATTATATTTGCCAGTATATTAAGCCGTATTTGAACTTTTCATATTTGTGTTATGAATCTATACATAATGTATAATTTACAATATATAAACAGTAGAACCCGGTGTGTCTGTACATTGAAGAAAAGAAAGAGGGTAACTAAAAAAGAGTTGAATATCAACCAATGGTTTCCAGAATTCAATACTGTGTGTCTCTGTTTGTTTGCATATATGTACATATACAGGGACGTCTTAAACTAGGATGGGGCCCTTGGGCACACAAGAATTTGAGGCCCTTTTGGAAAGTAAAAAACCGAATTATAATAACATTTTTTTACTGAGTTTGTGACCATTTATTATAGGTAATCAAATACAGTATGATATAATATGTCATTAATGATATTAGAATGCTGCTGGTTTTTTGGTTACGATTTCGATAACGGTTTCTTCCGGGTTTTGTGTTGAGCAAAATCTTCTATCATAGTCATAATATATGCCTTGTAAATACCTTCTGATTACTGATTTGTGAAAAAAGTGTAATGTGCCCGACAAAAATGTTTTGAGAATAAACGTGTGAGAGAAATTGTCGGTCTTTCGGGGCCCCCTGAGAATGGGGGCCCTGGGCACGGGCCCCGTGTGCCCTTATGGTAAAGATGGTATTGTACATATATCTTTCAAACTACGCATTTTCATGTAGTTTTCACAGATAGACAGTAGCTAATTTGAAGCAGAACATATGCTTTGTGTCATTAGAATGAGGTTGCAAAAAAGTTACCGTCGTGATCAACCTTACTGTTTGTAATGTAGCGAAAATTGTAGTAAATTGAGTGCAGTAGAAATTTGAATTAATAGTAATTAAAATCGTAATTTTTAAGAAACAACTTTGGGGGTTGCTTGATGGTATTTTAAATGAGTAAAGTAGTTTAGAAGTAAATAGTTGAATGTGCAATTGTTTTTCTTAAAATGGTAAAACATTGCTAATGTTCTAGTGTTTGGCATTTCAATTGACATATTTCAAATAGTTATGATTATTTTTTATAAGAACAATTTTATTTGTCACAACGCTCGCGTTGCGTGGTTCTTCAAAGTAAAAGAAGAAGAAGATACATAAAGTATTATATAATAAATAAAGAGAAATACGATAAACGGTATTAATTCTTGTCATAAATTCACACAGACAACTGTACGGTGCTATTCTTAATTTTACATGTCTAGATTTTAGCAGTAAAATTAATTATCAGTTTTAACTTTAAATTTTAAATGGATGCAATAATTGTGCTATTGAATCCCCAACCACGCTTCGCTGCAGTTGTTTAGTGACAACTGCACTGTGAGAAAGATTTATATGGCACATGTAACCTACATGCTAAATCGGAATCCTATCCTAAATTACCCACAATAATTGTACAAAATTCAGTGTAATCAAATTGTCATTTGTCAAAATCAACGAGACTTTTTTCGTGGTGACAGTTCACTGCTTTAGCCCTTTGTTTGTTTTAAATAAATTGTTGCAATATCACAAATAAATTTTCATAGATTATAAATTATGAACCGTGAAATGACCCGAAGAAAGTATCCATTAAGTGAAACGAAGTTAGTCTCTTAAAGAACTGCATTTTAGAAACCATTGTATTTTTTAATATGCCCATTTTGTATTTAGTGTTGTCAAATGATTCGGTTTAAATCGTCAAGTAACATTTAAAAAGTGAGTTATGTCAGAATTTTGACTACTAAAATGAATTTATAAAAGAAAGACATTAATATATACATATTATTTTAGACGTTAGAACTGTTTTTTTTTATTATAATAAATGAAGTATCTATTTTTAACTCCAGTATTTAATTATGGTATGTGCGTAGTGATCGTTTTAAATATAAATTTTTAATTTGGTCATACGCCTTTCAGACCAATAATGAGACCATTGTTCTCGGGAAATTAAGTTTATTTAAAAAAGTTCATTGTGATATGGACACTAAAGGAATTACTTTAAAAAATTAACAATACACACATAGACAATTAAAATAAGGAATGTAGTAAAACCATCATTTTTTATTGGATAAGTAATGTGGCTGTGCTATAGTTAACAGCAATTAATATACATAATATAAGTATGTCAAGAAACCTGAAAAAATTATATTCTAATTTTATTATTAAAGGAAAGAATTTTATTATTTGTATTAGATTCGATTTTTTCATTATCTATCTATATATTTGAGAAATACTTGGCTAGTCAAAATATACGAAAAGTTATTTATAAAAGTTGGGTAATATAATAGTAATTTTTTAAATGTTAATGAGTTGCCACTTAATTTCACAGATGTGTGTATACATTTTGTTAACAAATAATAATACATTCCGCATCATTTATATCGTAAGACGATATTATATAAACACATTTTAGACTTTCCAGTTACCTAGAGAGCTAGACGTTTGACTAGTGACCAGATTAATGGGCAATTAAAAAAGTTTTCACGTGTGAGTTTCTTAGTCAAATAAAGTTTTCTTAATAATTAAGAGATTGTGTTTTGTGGCTAGGTTATTTTAAAATTAAAAAAAAAAACAAGTAATATAGACAATATTTGAGAACGTAGCTAACTTTAAAATTCAAATTTTCAAATTTCACTTTTGAGGTTGATAATGTTGTTAGGAGTTAAATGAATATAGACACCACCCCGTATTTTTTACTTTACGCACACAACTTATGATGGCTGCTTCACACTTCACGTGAGAATCACAACGTTTAGGCGTGCTTTGATTGTTTCATTATGAAACAGATTACATTTGGCTGTATCAAAAAACATTCTAGCTGAACCGCTCATCATACACAGTTGCAAGATGTAGCTTTTGAATTGATCTAAAACCCCATGAAATTGCTAGCTTTTTCTCACGTGAATGTGGAACCGTCTCGAATAGAACTATATTTCAATGTTTCCACGTAGGTATTTGCAACTTAGCAATAATTTTGGATGATAATCCATTCTATTTAATGATGTATATTTTGCAAAAGATTTGCTTAAAATGTTTTATTTAGATTATAATTCTTAATTAGATATAAAAGTCTTCGAGTGGTACATTTAGTACAAATTACTGCTTAAAATAATGTTTAGTAAGTTTGAGGTTTCGGAATGAGAGACATTAAATCAATGTTAATGGAATTGTGTAATCATTTCTTCCTTAAACGGGGCCATGGGACCAATTCGGATGGCTTGGTTTTGATGGTAATCGAAATCCATAGTACCAACGGTCTCTGAAAAGAAACTGTTATTTACCGTTTGGCTACGGAACCTTAAATCTATTATTGTGGTCTAGTGATTCTGCTATTGTACGCACGATTCAGTATCTTTCCGAAAAACATTTGCTAACCAGAACTTAGATGTACCAGATAACTTTTACATGGTTGTGTCTGTTGATTCACGCGACCCGCACTGATTTAAAACCCCTTCAAGTCATTCAATCCCGTTGTTGCAGGATAGACGTCGGAACACCGTGGTTCGTCAGGAACGTGATCGTCATGACGATCTGGAGTTGGACTCCATCAGTAAGTATATTCAGTCGGAATCAGTGCGCCATTTGGAAAAAGCGGCGCGGCAAGACACTCCAAAAAGCCTCTTATCGTGGCCGCCGGTAACTACATACCCGATATTGCGGACCAATTGGTAAACAGTCGTCATCGCCCTAAACACGTTGGGTTCTCCCGATCCACTATTGGTGCTTTAACTGGAATAGCCTCTTAGGCTACCAGCGAATTGGTAGGAAAAAAAGGAACCCGTCGCTTGCGATGAAGGGTTCTAAAATAGATCGACTCTTATATAAGGCCCTGTTTCGATTTTGTCTATAGTTAATACACTTCATATTTAAATTTTGTTTAAGGCTGTTATTTCGTCCTTCTCCGCTCCTATTCGCTGTCGTCCTGTCGACCCAGTTAACCTTATTCCCGAGGACACGACCGCTTACTATTCGAGTAGAAACAAGACAAGTAATCGCGAGGAAACTCCAAAGTGCAGCCGTTACTTTAGGACAACAGTTCCAAAAACGGCGCATAGACATCAATCAACCCAGCGAAAAGCACAGCGGTGCTATTTCAAAGGGGAAATTCCCCACGTGTCTCCTCCCGGATTACGAGGAGGAATCTCACACCGCCGATTGCCTTCTTTAGCCAACCCAAACCCTGGGCCAGGAAGGTCAAGTACCTGGGAGTCACCCTTGATGCAGCCATGACATTCCATCCGCATATAAAAACAGTCCGCGACCGCGCCGCTTTTATCCTCGCAGACTCTACTCCATGATCTGTAAGCGGAGTAAAATGTCCCTTCGGAACAAGGTGATACTTTACAAAACTTGCATAAGGCCCGTGTTCGCTCACACGGCTCGCACACACGTAGCACCCTCCAATCCCTACAATCCCGTTTTTGTAGGTTAGCCGTTAGGATTCCGTGGTTCGTGAGGAACGTCGACTTACACAACAACCTGGCCTCGATATGAAAACACATGAAGTCAGCGTCGAAAGATTACTTCGATACGGCAATACGACATGATAATCGTTGCCGCCACTGACTGCTCCCCGAATCCTGATCACGCAGGAGCCAGTCACCGTCGACGCCCTAGACACGTCTTTATGGATCCATCAGGTCCAATAACACTTGCACTAGACGCCTTCAACTCTAACGCTAGGAGCAGGCTTACGGACCCCGGTAACCCTACTCGCCGAATTCAGTTGCTCTTGAATTGTTAGATCTCCTTTGGAGGCGCTCGGACAGCTGTTAGCAAATTCTAACCCTCCTGGATGAGCCTTTGTTCGCCCACCTCTCCTGGGACTGGAAACTGGAAAGGCCTCTAGGCCACAAGTATGTCCACAATGATAAAAAAAATCATTTCAACCATAGATAAGGCATAAATATACTGATTCCGAGACCGGCTATAAGGTTGAGTAGCCACTGACCGTAACATGCGCAAATGATGAAAATTAATCAAAAGTCAAAACATATTTGAGGTTATTCTTTGCGTAAGATGAATAAGTAGTTAATGCAGATTTATTGGGAATTATTAATACTATGTTGCGACGTTTTGCCTGTTCTGCTATTCAAAGCCGTGGCTTAAAACACCAGGTCAACATTAAATGGGTTCGTCCTGAATATGTGCCTGCGTACAAACCTGAAAAATCTGGTGATTTAGAAGGCTTACCACCCATTCCTGAGAATTCTATCGCTGATATCTATGCTTTAAGCGAAGAAATCAAGGAGTAAGTGGTTAAATTCAAGTTACTGAAAAAGAAAGAATCGATATATCAGTATATCTGGTGATATACTGAGTAGAAATTCATTAATAAGACAGTTTTAATTTATTGTTGTTTTAATGTTTTTTTTAAATTGTAAATATTTCAGTGCTCCAGAATCGGTAAAAAAAATATTTTCTGTGGCACATCTTGGACAAAAAGAATTTCACACATTGGTCAAGAAAGAACTAGTAAACAGAGTGAAGAGGCATCAGTATGATGAAAACTCAGCTGAAAATAAGAGTAAAATTGTCTTATACTTAATACTATCTGTAAATGTAGATAATTGAAGTACATTTAATAAATTTTAAAAAGTGACATTATTGATCTTCAAAATATTCATTCCGTAGTAGTATTTCACGAAGATAAATATTTTTTTCTTCAATTGGTAATTCAAATCCAAGTGGAAAATCGTTACCCTAGCCCAGACATGACTATGTCAATGTTGATTTTATAGAAGAAAAAAAAACATATTTTACAGAATCAATCTGAGCAGTTTTTTTTTTTTTTCTATTGTATGCAGACAAGCATATGGCCCACCTGATGGTGAGTGGTTACCATCGCCTATGGACTTCAGCAATGCCAGGGGCAGAGCCAAGCTACTGCCAACTGTGATTGTAGTCGAATAAGAGAGGTTGGTGGTAGAATTGGTAGAGGATCAATCTATGCAGACTAATGAACAAGCCTTGCCACCAGTATACATATATTCTGTTCTGACAATGAATAGTTCAATGCTTTCTAAAAGATAATTTTTTATCAATATAATGTATATCTGAATCATTACATTATAAAATAATGGAAACAAAATGGAAGGTATAGGTCTTAAAGTTAAATTATAAATTATTTTCTTTTAGTTGCAAGATTAACTGCATACATTCGTTGTATACAAAACATCATGGAAAAAAACCCTAGGAACTCAAAAATGAAGGTAACAATTTTAAAAAAAATTAAACATAAATTCATGATTTGAAACATTTAGTAATCTATTGATTGAAAGTAAAATTTAAATGTGTCAAGCTTTTTTGAGACATGAGGTTATAGTATTAATTGTGGGTTGTAAAAATCGGATTGTAACAACAGCTGTCTTGCACTTACATGAATGTATGACAAGAAAGCTTTTCACAGTATGTTCGCTTAAAACATTTAGTCTCAGAAACTGTTTTCTTTTTAGCAAACTGTACAAGAAATGATTGATAGAAGGAAGAAACTATTGAAATATTTGCGGCAGTACGATTATAAAAAATTTGAATGGTTATTGGAGAAACTCAATATTGAGTACAAAGGGAATCCTGAGTGAGTGACCTTTCCTCTTTTATTTTTATTTTTATTTAGAAAGCTATTTTACTATAATATTGAAATTTTAAGCTTTTATATAAAGAAAGAAATAATTCAATTCTAGTTTCAAAATCCATATTTAATATAATTTAGTTTTTAATTTAATTTTTTATTTTTTTATTTTAATTTTTTAAGCTTTAATTTTTGTTCAGGTCATTTCACAAATTATCACGAAGAGAATCACTACGCAAACTGACAGAGCTTCATTGTGATGACATAAGAAACAGTAAATTAGCAGGCTACAAAAATTTACTAGAAAGCCAGCAAGGGCCATTTTTAAAACAAAAGCTTGAAGCTCTCAAGTTTATCCGAAGTGAACAAACAGAATTGCAACTCCCTGTGACAGTTACAGAACAGGCAATAAAAGCAGTTGAGAAACAATTAGAAGAATGGACAATCAAAGACAAAATAAAACAAGAAGCCAAGAAAAAGAAGAGAAATCTATTGGAAGATTAATTCAAATAAATTTTATTTAGATAGTTCTTTGGTAGTCTGTTTTGATAAAGAAAATACTGCACTCATTATCAAAACATTTTATTAATATCTATAATTTCATACTAATTCTTAAAAATAAAAACATGAATTTTAAATCAAAAGGTCAGTCATTCTGGACGGATATTTTACCTTAAAATATGAAGTCTTACTTTATTAAAGTCACAATAAAGCTGCGACACTATTAGAATACTTATAAAAGACAAGTATCTTCTTAATTATAACTAGAATCATTTTAGTATCATTGGAATAAAATAAATTTTAACATTCATATGCTATTTCAGAGCCAGCTTAATGTGATAGGCAAATACAATTAGAAGTTTAAATTTAAGGGACTACATAACTACTTAGGTTTAAAATGTTCCCATAAATGCTAAGCATGTGGGATCCAAATTTTCAATTTGAGTTGGTCACCTAATACACTATGCATAAAATTATTTACTTAGAAATATCTATTTTGTTATTTTATTGTATTGTTTTAATACTTGTTGCTTTTTAAGGCGTTACAAACAATTGTGATACTATAATCACATAAAACTGAAATTTATGTTATGGCTTTTACAAAGGTAGTCAAAATGTATGGCCCATCTAACCTGTCACTTGTAGATGTTGGCAGTGCCAGAAAGGACATGTAAAATGATCTTAAGTTCTCTGGGGTACTGCAACACATCATATCAGAACAACTAAAGCCATGAAACAATCTACCCAAGTTTCTCTTGGTGTTATGTGAATTTTACACTACAAAACTGCAGGCTTTTTTGGATTTAGTCAAAGTGATGTAGTGTGAGGTGCACGAGCGTAAGCTGTAGGTATGAAACCGGATCGTCGTGACTTGGGTGCGTGTGCCCACAACCATCCCTCTACAGTTTGCTGGGTCAGATCTGCATAAACCCACTCTCCTCGCTTCACTGTCAGATCGTCAGGTGCTTGAGCCTAGAAAACAGTAAAATACAGTACTGTAATGCTTTTATCACTCTTCACTACAATACTTTAGACCACAAGACAACAAGACCACCCACCACCCCTTAATGTGTCTATGACACTATAATGTAAATATTGTTATCAAATTTGTGACAGATTGTAATTACAGTTTAATTAATGGCCTAGACTTTAAACTGGAAGCCTTGATTGCTTTAAATATTAATTTCCAGATTATCTAGAAAAAGAACTGATTTTTATAACAGTATTTAGCACCTAGGTTCACGAATACTGGTGGTAGGACCTTTTGTGAGTCCGCGCGGGTAGATACCACCACCCTACCTATTTCTGCCGTGAAGCAGTAATGCGTTTCGGTTTGAAGGGTGGGGCAGCCGCTGTAACTATACTTGAGACCTTAGAACTTATATCTCAAGGTGGGTGGTGCATTTACGTCGTAAATGTCTATGGGCTCCAGTAACCATTTAACACCTGGTGGGCTGTGAGCTCGTCCACCCATCTAAGATATAAAAAAAAAACCTAGGTGTACTTTGTTTCACATAGCATTTCTGGTGGCTGTTACATAGGAGAAAATCATAGCTTATGACTATTAGATGTCGTTTGTTATGTATATGAGCATGGTAATGGTAATGTAAGATAATGGTTCTGTAAGCGTATTTTATAATAATACTACCTTGTAATCATAAAGCATGACTAGTTCCGTTCCGTGATACCTCCCGTCGTTGTCCTGCTGTGTTGTATTGTTTATACTACTGTTGTTATTTGTTGATATTATACTGTTATTTGTATTTGTTGGCGGCGTAGGATGCAAGGTCTGTGTGTTCTCTTGTGTGGTGGCTGTAATCACGAGTGGATACAGTAAAAAAAAAACATTTGGGATTTTTTACTTTATCATCAATTTATTAAAACTCGTACAGGGTTTTCTTTTTTGCACGGAATCTATTGGTAGTCATTTAAAATCAGTAAAAGATTTATAATTAATTTCATGATTTTTAATTTTCTCAAAAATATTATCTGCAATATTTCGGATTTCGGTTATAGCTATGGCCTGTAACTAATCCAGTACTTAGAAACGAGTATGCGGACAAAAGGACAACGTTACAATCCCAAACTGTCGAGGAAAACGTTTTTGTCACGGTACGGTTAAATTACGATAGGTGGCGCGCGAATAATTTAAATCGAAATAGGTAATTTTTTCATCCATTAGTACAAATACACAAATGAAAATGAATAAATGAATTGGATTTTATATTAGATGAAACATTTGATTAATTATTATATTACCTTGAACGACAGCAGGATACACAAAACCAGATGGTATAAACCCTTCTTGACCATCACTCCTTACTATCCAATACCAATCTGGGTCTTCTCTGTTTAGTACTGAAACATTAAAATATATTTATAAAGTGACTAGCTGTACTCGCCCGCTTTGCTGGGCATTTATAATTAACATTATTATTTATTGTTATTATTATTAGGGAGTCCAACACTCATATAAATATTAGCCTATCCATTAAGTACATGTATTTTCTACATGGATACCAAGTTTCAAGTCCGATTGGATTCATGGTTCAGTAGTTATAACAGAACATCCGTAAAAACCACTGTAGGTTTATATATTAGTATAGATTCAATTGCAATTTTCAAATAACAAAGTTAATTATATAAAATTTGTTTAAATATTATACTGCAATATGACATGTTTAACCAAATAATTTTTTAGAGACAAAGATATAACATACCTGTAACAAATTCTCCTCGTTCTACATCAACATCATTTTCGTCTCTTGCAGTGAATGTGTATAGCACTACGTATCTTCCTGAAGGATCTTTGCTAAAGGGACATGCTTCACCTTCACTACCAAGCTCTGAATGCCNAATTTGTTTAAATATTATACTGCAATATGACATGTTTAACCAAATAATTTTTTAGAGACAAAGATATAACATACCTGTAACAAATTCTCCTCGTTCTACATCAACATCATTTTCGTCTCTTGCAGTGAATGTGTATAGCACTACGTATCTTCCTGAAGGATCTTTGCTAAAGGGACATGCTTCACCTTCACTACCAAGCTCTGAATGCCCATCATTTGTTACTCCATCAGATACAGATAATCTAGAAATTTATGTTTACAGTAAAGTGGTTTCTTTTATACCATTTGCCAATTAATATTATAATTAATTTGTTATACCATTTGTCAAATTTTATTTCCAAGTTCTATTTTATACTACCACGTCTGTCTAACTGGAATTTAATCTCAAAATGGGCACTGTTCACAGGTAATGTTTTAGTAAAATTAATAATTTTTTTTGAGACCTTAAATTCCACACAAAATTTTCAACTGTCTGATATAATTATCACTCTATTAACTTACTGTGAAACATCTCTATGGGCTAAATCGGCAGGGGATCTACTTCTCGGGAGTTTTTTCTTTAAGTCATGATGTTCACATGGTGCACAATATGAATGTGGTATGAAGCCTTCTCTTCGAGATTCTGCTACTATGACATAAACCCAATCATTTTCTCTATATAGAACATTAACAATTTGTCCACGTTTTACCTGAAAATTTATAATTTAATATTTGAAAATACTTTTCATTAACTGACAACAAAGTGGTCTGTGGAACTGTATACTTTTTTTTTTTATTGCCCTTGTAGTCAGATGAGCCATACGGCCCACCTGATGGTGAGTGGTTACCGTCGCCCATGGACTTCAGCAATGCCAGGGGCAGAGCCAAGCCGCTGCCTACCGTTCAAAATGCATATGAAATATATTAATTGGTATGTAGCTATCTGTGCATCTGACTGGATATGAATATTTATATTTTAGTATGAATATTTGTTTATATAAATTTAGATAAGGTATGGAAATTACTGAAACAACTAAAGGGCATTTTTTTTAAAAATGGTGAATAGATTTCAGTGACAAAATTACAATACAGTCTGACAGTAATTTCATAGCAATTAATTTTTTGCAAAAAATAATCATATTCAAGGTAACTAAAAGAGATTAATAATCTCTTCAAGAGTTGAGATTATAGAAGACAAAATGCTGATTTTTCAGCAATCAAATAAAACTTATCCATGAAGTGTACGGTAACAACCAGGTTCAAAGCCAAAGCAGTTGAATCATTATGGTTTTGCTTAATTGTTTAATTCTATGATAGCTAGAAAATGTTTTCCAATAAGTAGTTTTTATATATTATTATTATGTAAAGGGCAGAATAAAAACCTCTAACTCGTCATCCACACATGGTGTGAAATCATGGAGCACCACCATCTTCGAATCAGGACTGAGGCCATGTTCCTTCTCAATGCCAACTCTCACTAATGTTTCTATGCTTGCTGATCCTGTGATGCGGCCCATTCCAGGACTCAGTCCTGAACTGGGCCTGGAGAGGTCTTTATCAGAGTCTCCAGAACTCGCTGAAATAGTGAAGATAGTAGTTTATTTTCGTCTTCAAAAAAAGAGTATTAATATATGGGGTTTTCTTAAGCACTAGTGAGTTGTTGATTTTCTTCAAATAGTTATCTTAGAATCCACTCTGTCAAAACCTGTTTTAATTTTTCATGTTTTGAACCCAGTCTGTAATTTTTTTCTCAAGACCCAATTTAGTAAGACAGGTTGTTAGTACGTTAAAAATACTAGTTTTTTTATTATTTTAATTTTGTAGAAAGTCCGGGAGTCTGAGGTCATTGACATGTAAAGTTCTCACGGAGTTTCGGGTGAGGTACTCACATTTCTTCTTCTTTCCCCTTCTGATCCTGACTGGACATAGAAATGCCATGTTTTACAATGTCGAAATCAATACATAACTGTAATACATCAAACGGTTTTTGTTGAAAATACCTCCATTTAGCAATTTACATTTTCAAAAACTTAGACCATTCACGTCAAAAAGTGTCAAATCAAAAACTTGAACCTTGAAAGCAAAAATCGTGTAATTTTTTCTTCAATTTGTTTACGGCTACTGTTAACTAGACTTTTTAGTCCAATTTGGTTTTTTCAAATTGATTAAGCATTTTCCTCAGTAAATTTGTGAAAGTATGTATGTAATTATGTGTATATCTAGAATACATTTGTTATGTTTGTATCATACACCTTCATATACAGTGATGGTCATCTAATTAGAAACACTTCTTATGAATAAAGAAAGTGGAACTTCAACGAACAAATGTTCGTAAAAAATATACATATTCAATAATTAATAATCGTGCAATAATATACATAGCCACTCAAAAAAAAGTTCATTAAATACATAAAATATTAAACATATCTTACTTTTAGTTACAAAATGAGTCTTACACATTTAGGAGTTTATTTTCTGTTACTGGCTGCTTGGCCGCCTAATTAGAAACGTTTTAGAAAAGCAACCTTAACTCGTTCGTGTTTTGAAATTGGAGAATAGCGTTTCTTTTTTGGCTTTTTGGCGGCAATTCAAAATTTAATTGATTTTGAATTTTTCACAATGGACAAAAATTAGAGTTGTGACGCGTCAACTAGGCAAATAATTGTTTATTTATTTAAAGATCATAAATGGACGTACAGAAAAATAGCTGAGCATTTGTATTGTTCTGTTATGAATGTTTTTAATGCAATTGACCATTATAAAATACATGGGAATGTTGAAAATGTTTTTAGAAAGGCTCGGCCAAGGAAAACCTCTCCCAGAGAAGATACGCTAATCGTTCGTGTAGCTGAAATGACCCAATTAAAGGCCCTAGGCCCCAAGACCATATTAAAAATGAAGTTTTACGCCTGATGACCCGAGAAACATCTCGTCAAAAAACCTAACCTATCAAGAAACATAAGCCGCAGATTAGTGGAAGCTAAATTGTTTGGAAGAACCTCTCGAAAGGTACCGCTTCTTACTAAGCACCACCGAGAGAAGTGATTATTATTCGCTAAAAAATATGTTAATTGGACGATACGAGAATGGAAAAAAGTGTTATTTTCAGCTGAAACAAAAGTAAATATGGCAAATTCCGATGCAAGGCGCTATGTTAGACGCCCTGTAAACAATGCTTTTAATTATAAATACACAAAAAGTATAGTCAAGCACGGTGGCGATAACATTAAAGTTTGGGGGTGTTCCGGATGTGCAGTGGACCCGTTCGGAAGATTGAAGATACAATTGAGCAATGGCAATACAAAAAATATCTTAGAGCACACAATGATTCCCTACTCGGATGATCATTTGTCTGTAACCTGGATCTTTCAGCATGACAATGACCCTAAGCACACGGCCAATGGCGTTAAAAGTTTCCTTAGCGAACAGCGTATACCTATCCATTTTAGACTGGCCAGCAAACAGTCCGGATTTAAACCCGATAGAAAAAAATCTCTGGTATACTGTTAAAAAGAAAGTCTCAAACAAACATAACACCAGTCAAAACGAACTATATGAAGCATTTGTTAAAGCATGGAATTCAATCCCCCTAGAAAAATGTATGAAATTGATTGAATCAATGCCCCGTCGTTGCAGTGCTGGTATTAAAAATAAGGAATACGTCACTAAATATTAATTGATAACTATTGGTAGGCTGTGGATAGTAGCCATTTCTTAAATAACAATACTAATTAGTGATGCTTAAAAAAAAGATTATTTTTCATATTTTTTTGTTGTTCAATTGACCATTATTGTTCATACCTTAAAACTGATTTAAATGTTTGTCCGTTATTGAAATTACACTTGTGTGGTGAGATTTATATTGTTTTTCTAATAAACGATAAATCATTGAACATATTGTTGTCCTATTTATTGTTTAATTTCAAAATAAAAACGATTGTGGTGAAGTATCTTGAATAATGTCAAGGACCGTTGGTAGTGTATCTAATTATACGACCACCACTGTATATTGAGTACCGTAATTTTTTTCAAAATCCTTGAGTACTATAATCCATATTAACAATGGAAGAAACATTGAACTGGTGGAAGGACCTCTTTACTGGTGGAAGGACCTCTTGTGAGTCCGCGCGGGTAGGTATCACCACTCTGCCTATTTCTGCCTTGAAGCAGTAATGCGTTTCGGTTTGAAGCGTGGGGCAGCCGTTGTAACTATACTTGAGACCTTAGAACTTATATCTCAAGGTGGGTGGCGCATTTACGTTATAGATGTCTATGGGCTCCAGTAACCACTTAACACCAGGTGGGCTGTGAGCTCGTCCACCCATCTAAGCAATCGAAAAAAAAATTAAACGACCATTACTGTAAGTATATTGAGCACTGTCATTTTTTTCAAAATCCTCGATTACTATAATACATAGTAACAATGGAAGAAACATTGAACCGACAAATATTACGACATATTTTTTCACGTTCCCGTCCGAAAATATTTACTTGACCCGGTCGCGCAGTTAATCATCGATCTCGGCACTAATCGAGGATCCGACTAATCGTGGGTCTGATTTCCACACAAACAATCATGACACGAACAAGTCTATTTGTTCTGTGTTTGTGTGCATAATATTTACGTATGTATGTGTTATAAATCTCCCGTAAATTAAATCTACATTAATTAATCGTGGTAATCAAGAAGTCATCGTGACTTTTAAGACGGCGGACTTAGTATCAAGTGAAGCGACTGTGCCGATGTTCGAATCCCGCAGGCATTTATCAATTTTTCTAATGAAAAACGTACCTACTTAGCCCCAATGACTTTCAAAATGAAGGAACAACTTTGTGGGAAAAAATAAACACGCAAAAAAAAGCATTAATACTGGTGCTAGGAGTAGAGCATCTTATGAGCCTAAACTGGTAAGTGCTACCCAGCCTATTTCAGCCGTGAAGCAGTAATGCGTTTCGGTCTGATTTGTGGTAAATTCGGTTGGTCAGCTGTTGTACTATAAACTTAAGACTGAGAATGAGTTATTTATCGAGTTATTATTTTGGGTCAGTTGGACAACGTTGGACTTGGGTGCGTTGGTTAAGTAATAGCAGAACCGTCTAAAAGCCCGGGTTTGACCTTCAAACGAGCGGTCGGCAGCGGCTAACCTTGGCAGTATTGACGAGCGATGTTAGTCCGTAAATATTTTTTTTTTATAGTGAAAGAACAATAATTTCTAAAGCACATTATCACATATAAGAACAGTCATCACAATGCACAAGTTTCGTAATCCTTACGACCACAAACTTTATGAATCACAATGATGAACATTATCAAGTGGTTGTGTATTTATGTTTATGTCTTTTCAGAAATAAATATTCATATTGGCATATAGTTATTTTATTTTCATCAACATTTAACATTAATAGACAATAGCAATTTTTTTTTATGAAATAGATACGATCGTATACATCTCAAAATACTTTGGAATTATTTGGCACAGTTTATTATATAGTTAGGTTACACATTCAAATTTCAATATTAGGTACAAAAATATGCATCGATACACATAACAATTAAGTCATAAGATACTGAAGAGACAGTTACACTTTCCCTTAAATTTAAAAAAGTAAAGTAACCGTGAAGCCGTTGTTAGAAAAAGAAGACAATTTATAGTAATCAAAAAATTAAATTTTCGTAATATTTTACCATTTTTTATATTTTTCTTATTGCCCGTGTTAGCAGACTAGCATACGGCCCACCTGATGGTGAGTGGCTACCGTCGCTTATGGACGTCAGCAGTAGCAGGGGCAGAGCCAAACCGTTGCCTACAGAGTAATACTGTCCACAAGCCTCGTTTGAAGAAGGACATGTCATAGCGCTCGAGAAACACCGTGGAGGGGAGCTCATTCCAAAGCCGGATGCTACGTGGCAGAACAGATCTCTGACACTTTGGATGAACTCAGTGGCTTCAGGTAGTATGGATGAACTCTACTGCGGCGGCGGGCGATGCGATAGTAAAAACGAGATGATGGTATCTTCGCAAACAATTCCCCATGGATTTGATATTTGGAAATAATTATTGTAATTTCTATCCAAGAAACACCGGCGGCATCGACCCGACATTACATTGCGGTTTCAGCTTGCTTGAGGATCGAATTATAGGGTGTTTTTGTTGAGAATTTTCATTTTTTTTGCACACTTTATATTTTAATTAAAATTTGCGAATCATAACTATTGGAAGCAATTTTCAAATTCGAAAGTTCATAATTTTTCTGTAACTAAGTAAGGGTAACCCTTTTTTATTATTAAATGTCTACCCTCTATCTATAGCAACAACAACAGAAATAATAGTAGGTATTTATTTAATCAGAGGTTTTATAATTTAAGGTTTGCTTTATTTTCTTTTTTCAGCGTAGTTATCTTCTTTTACCATTTGATGCGTAAGAGTTAATTAAATGACGGGGAAACAGATACTCTTAACAATTTAATTAAAAGCCGACTAAATTAAATATATTACATAAGCATCTCAACTCTAAATAAATATACTTATATATCTATTTCACATAGGGAGCTGTGTTTTTAGTGGTACTTTAATTGAATAAAGAATAACAAAATATAATTGTAAATTAACAGTGCCATATGAAAATAATTTTTATATCTATATATATAAAATTTATCCAGGCGATTAAATCTAAATTCCTAAAAATAGCAATAATATTAGCTTTTTATAGTCATTGTTATATTTTCGTTCAAAACGTACATATTTTGCTAGTATATTATGCTTAGAATTGTCTATCTAAAGATGTTGGGTGTCCGTCAAAGAATGCCATTGTTCGTGTCTGTGATCGGGGTATTTGATACAGTCCATCCAGTGTTTTAATCTTCTGCCTTTACTGCTCGCTCCCAATATAAGGCTCCCCAGGAAATCATTTGGTTTTCCATAATCTTTATCCCACACGGTCAACGTTAAGTTTTGGCGCGAAAGTTCGGTGGGTCGTGTTTCGAAAAGAAATTCTTCATTCCAAACTGGATTCAAATTGCGCCATTTGATTGAAGTTTTGTGTTTTTTATGATATGGGTCTGGATCAAGATGTCTGAAAGAAAAGTAGATAGGAAAAATGAAAAATATGACTAACATTGTCCATGGCATATTTTGCAGGTTTATTTATAATTTCACTACTCTAGTCGGTTGAAACAACGTAGTTTCTTTATTGTATATGTTACGGTAAAAGTAGATATTGCGGCAAATTTACACATTTTCCGATAAACGTGCATTTTTGCCTCCTCGTTTGGGTAATGTGCATTCAACTAACATTTACAATTTCAAAGAAGGGAAATGTACATTGAATTCACAATGATGATGTCGTTTTGGTAAATGTGAGCAGGGCATACAAAATACGAAATCGCAAGTCCTAGTAATGTGGTGCGCACCACTGCAACCTAACATAACCTAACCTACGACGTATTATATATATATAATATGCAAAGAAAAGTATGTTTTGTTTGTCATTTTCATTTTTTTATTAAAATAATTTTCGTTATTAAAGCCTTTTGTATTATGTTTATTTAAATAAATATTTTTTTACTGTAACAACATTATTAATTTATTTGTATTCCAACATTTCTTAAAACGCGAAGGTAAGAGTACACATTTGCTGGGAAATGTACCTACATATCTATATAAATAAAAGAAAGTCGTGTTAGTTACACTATTTATAACTCAAGAACGGCTGAACTGATTTGGACGGAAATTGGTGGGGATGTAGCTTAGGATCAGGAGAAGGACATAGGATACTTTTTATCACGTTTCTGTGGGATGTGACATAAAATGTGGTATAGCAAAACGCAACAGATATGGAATAACAAAACGCAACTGACAGCTAAACGTAATGTAGTTTATGGTTAATAATTAATTAGTAGAATTTTGAAGTTGACCGGTTGATGTGTTTATTTCGAGTTTCTATTAGCTTATTGTGCCGAGATAGGTAATCATTAACAAAGACATGCCGCGACCAACACGATCAAATCTTTCCCGACGAAACCGTAATGCAACTAGGATTCGAAACTTTGCGAGTGAAAGGACTGAAGAAGAACAAGAAAATATAATAATAACAACTAAAATACATGGCCAATAAAGAACAATTAAAATACTTGCTTTTTTAATTTACATTAATTATCCAAATAAAAAAAAATATCTTGATAAAATCAAATGTCAGCTCATTTATTGCCTCTAAGGCGGAACAAAGTTCGCCGGGTTCGCTAGTACATTATATTCAAATGTGCACATTTACCGGTAAAAGTGTACATTTCCGAAGAGTGTACATTTACCGTAACATATACTTACATGTTACAAGTATAATGTATCCATAAACTTTCTCTATTCGCAAATTTTTTTAACTTTCCTTTCCACTGAAACGTAAATGTTTCACTAAAACAAGTATCTAAATACCACAAAAATGATTTAAATGTGTATAGAAGTTTTTTATAAATCGAAATAAACACTTACAGCTTAACAAACGGATCGGAGTACCCATTGCTATCCTGCGAAGGTAGTTCGGCGGCTCTGCAAATCGTCACAATGAGGGCCCTCTTTTTTGTACTATAACAGAGGGCTAACAGAATACGCGGGCCGGTCGGTTCACATCCTGACGCGCCCGATAAAGCGAGACGTAATTGCGTAGGTGATTTGGCGCATTCCCTTAAAGAGACTGTCGCCGAGCCCATTTCGTCGCAACCATATCTGAAAATAAATTGGTGGAAGTTCAAATTTAAAATCACTACATAGTATAAAACAAAGCCGCTTTCTCTGTCCCTATATCTGTCCGTCCCTGTGTATGCTTAAATCTTTAAAACTACGCAACGGATTTTGATGCGGTTTTTTTTAATAGATAGAGTGATTGAAGAGGAAGGTTTATATGTATATTAACATCCATTAAATAGTGGAGAAATCAATAGTAAATTAGAGTTTCCGAAGCGAAGCGAGGGCGTGTTGCTAGTTCTCAATATAAATTTCTTTTGAAACCTCGTTCGAAGATAGAAATTGAGTAGCGTTTATGGAGCACTGTGTAAAGGACCTAATTTCAGTGCTGGACTGGACTCCGGTATTTTTTTTATTTTTTTTATTGCTTAGACGGGTGGACGAGCTCACAGTCCACCTGGTGTTAAATGGTTACTGGAGCCCACATACATCTACAACGTAAATGCGCCGCCCACCTTGAGATATAAGTTCTAAGGTCTCAGTATAGTTGCAAAGGCTGCCCCGCCCTTCAAACCGAAACGCATTACCGCTTCACGCAGAAATAGGCGGGGCGGTGGTACCTACCCGTGCGGACTCACAAGAGGCCCTACCACCAGTAAATGTAAATAATATGCAACCAAATGAAATGAATTCGGATACGAACCTGTCGTCGTCAAATAAAACGATCTCCAAAGATTTAACCGAAAGGTCCGATTCAGTGATTCCAAAGAAATGTAGGGTTTCATTGAATTCAGGATTTTTCGTTTTATGAACGGTTTTCGTTCTAAGTCTATTCGAATATGTGCCTTCTGGAAACGAGAATTTCATTTTTACATTACAGCCAACCCTAAAATAGTGAAATTCAATAAATACAGTCTTCTTGTCCAATTAAAACAACTTTTACGGTTATTAATCTAGCCTATATTATTGCTTCTGTCGTTTCAAATAATTTACAGTTTTCTTAGTTACGGACGACCGCAAGATTGATATGTAAAAGTGGTTTTAATTTATCTTTAAGACCAGCGAAAACCGAATAATTTTAGTAGACCTCTTTCTTACCTTTTGGCAAAATCTCTAATCTACAGAACGGATCGGACAACCCTGTCATATCCATGCCAATTAGCCCTCTGGCTCTTAGCACCGTGACCGCTAACGAGGATGTAGCGTTTTCGTATGCCAGCCGTATCTCTAACGTACCGAAACCGGCATCAGGGATGGCTGGGGCCCTTTCGATTTGTGTTACCGGTTTTTGTGCATCCTTTCTCGCGTTCCGTACGCTGTAAGCACTGCTTTTACTGCTTGTCCGTTTCAAACCCAATGGCCTTTGGTTGAGACTGTCGGCCCTGTGAAGGCTTAACCCACTGAAGCCGTGTGTCAGAATGTCAGTTTCATTCCAGTCAAATGGGCCGTCCTGTAAGTGAGTATATAGTAAAAAATATAGTTTGATTATGGTATAAATGCGCACGTTAATGCATATGGATCGTGTTAGAAATCAACGAAGTTAGGTATGGAATGTGTGACAGAGCTGATCTCTTGCGATTTCAAAATCTTGACTTGAATATATCAAATATATCCGTCAATACACACATTATAAGTACCAACTATCAAATAAAAAATAGAACATAAATAAAGTATATTCAGTAAAAGTAAAAAAAAATTGTAATTTTTTATCTAGTGCTATTTTGAAACACAAGATTGAACTACAATTAAACATTAAAGCCCTACGACTTCCTTACTCTTTCAATTATTTCACTCATTCGTAGTGTTAGAACAAACTGAACATTCTTGATTAAAGGCCTAAACAAACTAAGTTTTCCTGCTGCCATTACGAAGTTATGGGAAGTACGAGTCCAGTCCTTATTAAATGTAACTTCTCCATGTGTTATTCAGTTTTCGGATATGACCGGAGGCTATTCGTTTGAGCTTAAAGCTACACAAAGAATAAAATGTGAAAATTTTCGTAACGTTTTAATATCAAACGAGTCTTCGAAGATTGTTTTCATGTTCTAAACAACAAAGGAGATTATAATTTTAGTTCGAGGAATCCTCATACATTAGCGAACTAGTTATAGCGCCACGTTGCCTATTTCTATCGTTAGATAGTCATGGAGAGCCTAAAGCATTGGCGTGGCTATACACATCAATTGGAATCTCATTTCTATGGGCTCCGATAACTAACAGATATCACTTGGCGAACAGTAAAACCACTCCACCGAATTAAGCAATAAGCAAAAAAAATCTTAATACCCGTCTATTATGGATAATCATCAATAGAAACACTGTTCTCGTTTAATCATAAATCCATTAAATGAACAAATGGTATTTTTATATCGTTATTGTCCACAAAATTAGATCACCCTTAATTGGGTGAGTCAATAATAAAACGTATGTGTCAATTAGCAGCGCCCTGTTGCAGCCTCCCCGTCCCATTTCCTCCATCCGTCATCTTGTATGACGCACGCAGTACGAGGGTTGTAACAGTAAAATATCCGGTTTTATTTGCTATGGTTTTTCATACAGATTTATGAAATGAATATAATTTTGTTCCACAAGTAGTTGTTCATCAGCTTGGTCACAAAACCCACAAAATATGATTTTTTTATGTACATTTGAAGTTTGTACACAAACTCTACTAATCACAATAGTCTAGTCTATGTTTTAAATTTTAATATGTTTTGCCTAATATGAATCTAGTTTTGATTGAGTTAACTATGAAACCAAAATGGACGTTAAGGTAGTAATTTTTTTAATTTAATTTTATAAATCAGTGACAGCCCTACAAGGACATACCGAAGGCCAGACAACGGTCCATCTCCTCGACTTTCCATTTATATACAGACGCTGAGTGTCCATTTTATGGCGTTTACAAATCGTTAGTTTTTATTCATGAGATTTTCATCAATCTGCATAATGTTGTTACATTTCTTACTCCGGTAACAGCTCTTGAAGCTAACTTGTAATTTATAGCTCGTTAGATCGGAGCTTTACGACTTAAATTTACATGTAGCTTGATTTTGAGTGAAATTACAGCTTTAAATTGATGCTTTATTTTTGTCTTTAAAGGCAAATTAAATGCTATATGTTTTATTCCAAAGAAAATCTCCGATGCTATTTCTGCAACAGTACAACACGATACTTTTTCCGATTATCTATTCAGTTTCTTTGGAAATTTGTTTTGTAAGTCACTATTTTTGCCATAGTACTTCTAATTTGTACAACCAACCGCGTTACTTTGTAACTAGTAAGAAAAAAACTCGATTTGCATTAAGTTAGTTAAACTAGGGAAACCGGGTCACAGCCAGCTTTTTTTTTTCTTTTTTTTTCCTACCTATGCTGATAGCCTTGAGAGGCTATTTCAGCTTCTCCTTGACGTGTAGGTGAACTCACGGGGCTCAAAACGGGAGTGTTGCTAACATTGGCCCTAGCAAGAGCAGTGCTTCGCGGAATCTACCACAGGTTCGGAAACGCGACCCACTGAGAAAATCCGGCGAGAAACTCAGTGGGCTACGCCCCGCTGTGATTTACGCTTTAAATATGAAAATATTCACGTGCATTTCCAAAAAAACTTTTCGTATTACCCTTATTTTGTCGAACACAATGAAATAAAGCGGCCAAATTTGTCGAGACATTCACACGTGACGAGCAGTCGTAGAAGTGTCATATAATAAAAATATATTATTTTTAGTATTTTTATGATGGACTTTCGCGGGACATATATACAAAATTAATACTACTTTTACGGTTCAATCTCGCTATTTTTATTATTATTGTTATACATAATATTAAATTTACCGTTTCAAATACTTTACAGTGTTCATGGTCACGATAAGGATTTTTACTATAATATAAAGTGTCGAATAAACAAAACAAAAACTGAAAAATATTTTTGTTGTCCAAACAGTTTGATCGTCAGAAGAAACATTATCTAGCTTTTTTTTCCTTCCTATGCTAATAGCCTTCAGAGGCTATTTCAGCGTAACCTTAACTAGTAGGTAAGCTCACAGGGCTCAAACCTGACGACGTTGCTAACACGAACCCTAGCAAGAGCCGTGCTTCGCAGAATCTACCACCGCATCGGAAACACGACCCACTGAGAAGATCCGGCGAGAAACTCAGTGGGCTGTGCCTGTGGGTTAATCTCGTCGAGCGCTTCGTAGCAAGCGACGGGTTCGACGAGAACGATGACTGGTGCTTTTAGGTACTTTTTAAACCATTTTAATTACATTTAAAAGAAAAGTGTTTTAGTTTCGTGTTACTTTAAATGTGATTCAAGGAAAATGAGATCTATTACTCAATAAAGTCATGTTGTAAACGAAATAAATCGTGATGTCATCTTAGTATTAAAATCAGAGCGATGTATTATGTAACTCCATTTTATAACCCGAGACCGCTTGCCGTAAGTTTCTCAAAGCTGAAATTTGTTTAGGATTACGACGATTACGGACGACGTTTGGTGAATATGTATGTCCATTACCAAACCATTATAACCACGGAACAGAATTTATCTATTCCGTGATTATAACTATAAATCGGAATGAGGGGAAATGGCAAGAAGCTCTGGATTTGCATTTCCCGAAATATAAATACATATATGTATATATATCGCGACATAAAAATATTCTAAAATACTTATTTTAATTCAGTACATTTAAGCATGACTAGAATTAGAAGTGACAGAACTGTTTAATTAATTATTACTGAGCTGTGACCATTGCATTAGTATATCAGCAAGACTATTATTACTTTTGCTTATCAATCAAAAAATTTTATGTATTTACTGCTTAGATGGGTGGACGAGCTCACAGCCCACCTGGTGTGAAGTGATTACTGGAGCCCGCAGACATCTACGACGTAAATGCGCCACCTTGAGATATAAGTTTAAAGGTCTCAAGTATAGTTATACAACGGCTGCCCCACCCTTCAAACCGAAACTCCTTACTGCTTCACGGCAGAAATAGGCAGGGTGGTGGTACCTNTTATGTATTTACTGCTTAGATGGGTGGACGAGCTCACAGCCCACCTGGTGTGAAGTGATTACTGGAGCCCGCAGACATCTACGACGTAAATGCGCCACCTTGAGATATAAGTTTAAAGGTCTCAAGTATAGTTATACAACGGCTGCCCCACCCTTCAAACCGAAACTCCTTACTGCTTCACGGCAGAAATAGGCAGGGTGGTGGTACTTACCCGCGCGGACTCACAAGAGGTCCTACCACCAGTAAAAAGTTTCTACCACCAGTAAAGAGGTCCTACCACCAAAATAGGAACGATGAACTTGGCTGGCTTTCGGCGTGGATTATTTGAAAGAGTATTTATTATTTTCGGCATTATTAAATGAGCTGTATCGAAATCAGGCCACGGGTAAGACTTACCCGGTGGGAGGTCTTAATGCGTGTTTATTGATGTGTTCACCCTTCCTGGTCTTTCGTTTACAGTAAAATGTACTTATTGTTGACATGTTTCGCATTTTTGTTTTTGTATTACAAAGGTTATATTGTGGCTTGCATTAAATTATATTTATAAATCAATTCTCGTTCGCAAACACTAATTTTAATCGTGCTTTATTACATCCATACGAGCACGTCTGTATATATTAATACGTGAAGCAAAAACTTTGTATCCCTTTTTACGAAAATTGCGCGGACGGAGGAATTTGAAATTTTCCACACTTATAGAGAATATAGAGAAGAAGTGCACAATGCTAATATTTTTTTTAAATAATGCATAAAAGATACATTAAATCAATAAAGAAAACATTACACACACTACATGTATTTGACGCACACACGCATGTGTAGGCTTGAGGGTAGATATTGTCTTGTTGAACACCAAGTAAAACGATGTCACTTTTTGATTCTTGATTTAATCAACAATATGTTATATTAACAATTCACTTTAACACTTGTCCAACTTTAACCAGTACGTACAACAGTCACTGAATCACACAACGTAACAAGGATATAGTAAGTGCACCAGGCAAGCGCAGTCCAACGAATGTTCATTTCAAGGCACGTTCCGCCTTTTTATACTAGCCGGCGCAGCTGGCTTATGAGTCACTTCTGTTGCAGCTGTTGTTTACGAGTGGAACGACACGGCCGGCGCGCCTGGCTTGTGTGAGTCACTCCTATTGCACGTGCTATATAACATAAATATCGTTAACGCCGTCACGGCCATACTGACGTGCGCTCGTCCTCGTGCGCGCATTCTTATGGTATGTCTGTGAACAACAAACGTGTTCGTTCATCCTGACATTAACGGATGCAACTTAAAACGTGGTCTATGATATTAACAATCTAGTACGGTTCGGTTCGCATAATTCTTCAGAAAATCCTATACTGGCTATAAATAACCTTCAGACTGCTTACATACCTGGGCCAGTTCATTTAAAACTCTTCAGGTATGTAAGTATGT